CCCCCCCCCCCCGCCCCCCCTTCGCCAACAAATGGAATAACTTATTTAAGAACATCTCAAAAATGTCGGCAGACAATAAATTAAGACAATTCTCTTTCAAACTACTTCATAGGATACTAGTAACCAGAAGGAACTTAAAAGATACAAAATTAAACTGGATGATGAATGTTTTTTTGCAGAAGTGTAGATTCCCTTGAACACACATTCCAGGCTTGCTCTGTAGATGAGGACTTTTACTACGAAATTATGATATGTTCAACAATGAACAGAAATCCTAAATTTAATATGACTAAGCAGCAGATCCTTTTCAATGATTTTATGCTACCCTTAGGATCACAACATCTACTGAGGTGGAAATTCGGAATTTTCATAACAGTAGTGAAAGTGTATATCTATGACGGTCACTGTAAAATGATGGAAAAATTCCCACTTGGTAATCAATTCAAACAAAAACTAAATAATCAATGGAAAATCAAAAATAGCGGAAATTTAATAGCTAGATCCTGATAACCAGCAACTAGCACTGTGTCACCCTATAGACAAATGTAATTTTAAAGTAATATAGCAATCTATGCTAAATTTTTTAAAGTGAATTTTGTAATTTATAATTTTACTGTACTCCAGGTAGCGTGCCTCAACAAGTGTAACCTTTCTATTGTTTTTTATAGTAATAATTATTGTCTTTCAATTAGTGTACTTGTATTATTTTCTATAGTGTCTGTCATATTGCATGTCAATGTAAGCCAAAGCTGTTAGTTAAAGTCCTTTTTTCTGTAAGTAACATACTGTAAGTTGGTTGTATGTAATGTTTAGACTGTAATGTGTAGATACTTACTCCTTAGACTGTTTTTTTTTTGTAACTGTAGTGTAAGTTTAATTGTAATTGTTGTTTGAGCAAATTAAAAAAAAAAATTAGCAGACAAAACCTATTCTTAGACAGCTGAGGAAAAGACTCTGAAGTTTGGAAGAAAACCTCACCAAGCCAAATCCAGCTTATTCCTTTGATAGCAGCTCTCGTCTTGAGCCTAGTGATCAATTTTTATCCAGATCTGTTTATGGTTTCCTGATGAAAAAGCTTGTGATTCATACATGTATTTTACAAAGAAAAGGGTGCCTCTTTTACACAAACCAAACCCAACCTTGCAGAAAAAACTTGAAAACACTTGCCACTCAATTTTGAGCCAATCGCGAGTGCCATTGTATCAAAAATACATTACTGCAGTAATTTATGCATTGTGTCCGACAGATGAGGAGAACACCATATGAATCGGCCACCGCTCCAAGGTTGCATAGTGCGACAGACCCTGCTGAATTTAAGTTTGCTGCTCCAAACCTACTGTAATAATTCAGTTTATCGCGATCTCCTTCCAAGAAGCTCTCCCTTTCAAATAAGCGCCCCCCTTCAAATTTGTTTTTATAAATAAGCGCCCCTTAATTCCAATAAGCACCCCCATTCCCATGGATGCTGTGGAAATTTCAGTTTGATGATTCCAAATAAAGCAGTTACATGTGAAAAGGCAACAAAATTTGTGCTGCCGACTGTTCACTCTGACTACGATAATCACTCATTGAAAATTAGCTTCAAACTACAGTTGCTTTTGATAAGTAGTATTTTCTTGAAAAGCTGTGTGAGTGTACAGGAAATAAAAGCAACTGAATGTTGAAGAAGAAAATTAACAAAAAATTCATGCAAAGATCCAAAAACCGACACAATTTGAGATCAATTGAATTAAACTAAGCCCTGCACCTCAATTAAGTTTGTTATCTTACATTTGGGTCTTGTTCTTTTATATGTCAATGAACTTAATTGATTCTGAGCCAAACAACTCTAGTCTATCAATGATTACATAGCTACTGACATTTTTTTTGCAGATCACAACCCTATTAGACACAATGATGAAGGAAGTTGGTGATGTGAAGGAAGCCACAGAAGAAGTTTCTGAGTTGAAGAGAAAGTTGGCAGAGGTATTTTTAATGGTTGAAGCCTTTGGTTAAATTATATCATAATTGTTGTCATCTGCTGAGAACCATTACTTGGCAAATATTTGCTTTTATTTGCCAATCATAACAATCACTAATTAGTGATTGATTAAACTAACATAACTTTTTGCATCTTCTTTGAATGTAGCTGGAGAAACTGAATTCAAGTCTTAGTGAGAGAATTAATGCATTGGAAAGTGTAGGTAAGAATAACTATGTGTCACTAAGTTGTGTTTCATGTACACTCATTTTTTTCTTTAAAGATCATCAAAGTTTTTGCAGGATGCTGGACAAAATTCAAGGATTATGCAGACCATCAGGTTTTTGCGAAGGTCCTTGATCATGCGGGATCCTTCAACATGCTGTTACGTGTTCATCCCTGAGATGTTGTTTGTCATTACTGTTAGACAGACTGCACCATAGCAATGTGTACAGACCATGATAAATAAACTTTAGCCTCATCAAGAATTTTTCAGAATCTTTGTGAAGAATTTATAATGATAAGATTCTACTGGTAAAATTGCCATTAAATCGTTGAAATCATCTTAAAGGATCCTTGCACAAATGTTGGCGAGGCTTTTTGGTCAGATCTTGAAAGATCCTCAACATCTTCCTATGATTATTCAAGGAGCCTTATAAATGATCCTTACATGAAAGCTTTTTTGGAAAGTTTTTGGAATGAACACATTTAAAGATTTCAATGATCTCTCAAGCTTTTTCTGTTTGGGCATTATTTTTTCTTGAAAGTCACCATAATTTCTTCATATTTTTTTGAGCTGTGCCCCTCCTAATTATATAATTTGCTTTCCAGAATAGGTAAGGCCTTAAAGTTGTAAGCTTGAAGATCTTAAAGTTCTTCATTCCAGAGGATGTACTTGTTAAAATAATAATACATGCAGCCATGTCCACTGAAAACCCTAATTATGTTAGCAAGACTGATTTATTTTTGACTGCCCTTAGGGTAGTAGGTATTCAGTTTGGTCATTGACATGATCTTAGCACATTTAAATTACTGGCAAAGGTACTGCTTGAGTAGTTTTGTTGTCTGGAAATTGTATTTCATAGACAATTCAGAGGAGAGAAGAAAAATGGAAGATTTGCTCAAGGAATTGGTAAGGAGAACGTTGAACAAACTGACCACATTTTTCATTTATCCATTTTCTTAATATAGACCTCATTGTATACAAATGACTGTAAAAAATGTTCGAAACTCAAGTGGTCAAGTATGAGCTACAGACCTCATTTCTGTAGTCTATGATTAATGTCTGAGTACAGACCATGGAAAAATGTAGCCCATTTGTTTTTATCGTAACTACAAATTTACTGTGAATTAGAGGTCGGGGCAATCATTATGGAACTGCACATGACAGCTCTCAAAATGATCTCTTTTATCTTCTTGAGGATGAAAAGTTCCTGCAAGAGTTCCTACAAGATGTTGCATCAAATATCCTGCTTAAAAATTGACATTTTACAGGAGAATCATGACTATTTCTCAAGTGACCAACATTGCCTTAACTTGCAGTGCAATGTACATTTTACGTAACTGTTACCTGATTGACTGCACAAGAATTCTCTCAGTTATCACAGAAGTAGTGGTAGTAAAGTTCAGAGTTATCAGCAGTTATTGCATCACAAATGAGAAAACGAAAAAATAAAAATCCACCTGCAGCTAGTATCGAAAAAAGCAAATTTGGACGTGCATATTGCATTACTTTAACATGTGAAAGTGTCTCTTGAAAGTGAACATGAAAAGGTAAAATAATTTGAAAATTATGCAAGGAAAAGATTTTCACAAGGCCCCCACTAACTGTCATTTCATACCTGTATAATTTTGAAATTAACTGAATACTTCCATTTTAAGTTTGACAACTATATTCATAATCAATTTATTGTTATGTAACAATATAAAGTAACTATACATAATTAGGCAAGGTTTCAAACTGTGTTTACAATCACTTGTTTCCAAAAGTCCTACTTTAATATGAACGATTCTGGTTTGTATTTTTGGTCACAAATAAGATGTATAAATTCTTTCAATTTAGGTGGTTAGTGTGTTGTAACTACACATTGTCCCTTCTTTTGTGGCTTTCAGAAAACCTTGCACAATCCTTGAATTCAAGTTAAGGGCCCATTAACCGATTAATGC